TCTCTATTATTTTTTTAAGTTAAACCAACACGTAATAACCTTCAACAAAACCTACCAATTGAACCTAAATTGCAGTAGACAAAGAATATTCAATTTTATTCCATTTTTTGAAATAGAATGTTTTCCTGGAAAATGAAAAAATTCGAAAAAAATTCAAATAAAATTAATCAGCATGTCTCTATTATTTTTTTACCTTAAAACAACACGTAATAACCTTCAACAAAACCTACCAATTGAACCTAAATTGCAGTAGACTAAGAATAATCAATTTTATTCCATTTTTTGAAATAGAATGTTTTCCTGGAAAATGAAAAAATTCGAAAAAAATTCAAATAAAATTAATCAGCATGTCTCTATTATTTTTTTACCTTAAAACAACACGTAATAACCTTCAACAAAACCTACCAATTGAACCTAAATTGCAGTAGACTAAGAATAATCAATTTTATTCCATTTTTTTGAATAGAATGTTTTCCTGGAAAATGAAAAAATTCATACAAATTCAAATAAAATTAATCAGCATGTCTCTATTATTTTTTTAAGTTAAACCAACACGTAATAACCTTCAACAAAACCTACCAATTGAACCTAAATTGCAGTAGACTAAGAATAATCAATTTTATTCCATTTTTTGAAATAGAATGTTTTCCTGGAAAATGAAAAAATTCGAAAAAAATTCAAATAAAATTAACCAGCATGTCTCTATTATTTTTTACCTTAAAACAACACGTAATAACCTTCAACAAAACCTACCAATTGAACCTAAATTGCAGTAGACTAAGAATAATCAATTTTATTCCATTTTTTGAAATAGAATGTTTTCCTGGAAAATGAAAAAATTCGAAAAAAATTCAAATAAAATTAATCAGCATGTCTCTATTATTTTTTACCTTAAAACAACACGTAATAACCTTCAACAAAACCTACCAATTGAACCTAAATTGCAGTAGACTAAGAATAATCAATTTTATTCCATTTTTTGAAATAGAATGTTTTCCTGGAAAATGAAAAAATTCATACAAATTCAAATAAAATTAATCAGCATGTCTCTATTATTTTTTTAAGTTAAACCAACACGTAATAACCTTCAACAAAACCTACCAATTGAACCTAAATTGCAGTAGACAAAGAATATTCAATTTTATTCCATTTTTTGAAATAGAATGTTTTCCTGGAAAATGAAAAAATTCGAAAAAAATTCAAATAAAATTAATCAGCATGTCTCTATTATTTTTTTACCTTAAAACAACACGTAATAACCTTCAACAAAACCTACCAATTGAACCTAAATTGCAGTAGACTAAGAATAATCAATTTTATTCCATTTTTTTGAATAGAATGTTTTCCTGGAAAATGAAAAAATTCATACAAATTCAAATAAAATTAATCAGCATGTCTCTATTATTTTTTTAAGTTAAACCAACACGTAATAACCTTCAACAAAACCTACCGATTGTACCTAAATTGCAGTAGACTAAGAATAATCAATTTTATTCCATTTTTTTGAATAGAATGTTTTCCTGGAAAATGAAAAAATTCATACAAATTCAAATAAAATTAATCAGCATGTCTCTATTATTTTTTTAAGTTAAACCAACACGTAATAACCTTCAACAAAACCTACCAATTGAACCTAAATTGCAGTAGACTAAGAATAATCAATTTTATTCCATTTTTTGAAATAGAATGTTTTCCTGGAAAATGAAAAAATTCGAAAAAAATTCAAATAAAATTAATCTGCATGTCTCTATTATTTTTTACCTTAAAACAGCACGTAATAACCTTCAACAAAACCTACCAATTGAACCTAAATTGCAGTAGACTAAGAATAATCAATTTTATTCCATTTTTTGAAATAGAATGTTTTCCTGGAAAATGAAAAAATTCGAAAAAAATTCAAATAAAATTAATCAGCATGTCTCTATTATTTTTTACCTTAAAACAACACGTAATAACCTTCAACAAAACCTACCAATTGAACCTAAATTGCAGTAGACTAAGAATAATCAATTTTATTCCATTTTTTTGAATAGAATGTTTTCCTGGAAAATGAAAAAATTCGAAAAAAATTCAATTAAATTAATCAGCATGTCTCTATATTTTTTTCACCTTAAAACAACGTAATAACCTTCAACAAAACCTACCAATTGAACCTAAATTGTAGTAGACAAAGAATATTCAATTTTATTCCATTTTTTGAAATAGAATGTTTTCCTGGAAAATGAAAAATCCCTTTCAAAGTCAAATAAATTTAACGGAGTGGCTATTTCGCCCGTCGCGGGCGAACTAATTCATTTCTGTTATTTCGCCCGTCGCGGGCGAAATAGATACGACTGTGTGAACTGGCTATTTCGCCCGTCGAAATGAATGTGTTTTAGAAGACGGGCAAAATAAGAAAAATAGATTATTTCGCCCGTTCAAGATAAAATCGAGTATCTGGAAGACGGGCGAGTATATTATTTCGTCCGTTAAGTATAGACAGCTGTTTTTTAGATAATGAGAAAAAATAATTTTACTTTTTTTAAATATAACAAATAAGATGAATAGAAAAAAGACGTCTGAGTATAGGTCTAATATTATTTATTTATATCTTTTGGAGTATTTGGTTTAATAAAATAGAAGAAATTTAAATAAAAAAAAAGTTCTTAAAAATTCTTTAAATTCTTAAAATTAATACTTAATTATTTTCTATTTTTTTTCAAAAAATTTTATTAATTAAAGTTTTGAGAATATTTGTAACATAAAATTTGTTTGTAATTATTAACTTGAAGATTTTTCAAATATTTATTTTACGCGTTTTTGAGACGTGACTTTAAAGAATAATAATTATTTTATCTAAGAAATTGTATTGGAAAAAAAATTAATATATTTATAAAGGTATTAATTACTCTTATTAAATAATTTAAAAAATTTAATATTTTATAGTAATGGTAAACAAATATAATTAAAATTATAAAAAAATTAATCTAATATTAAAATTATAAATTATAATTATTAAATTTAACTAATTAAAATTACGATTTTGAAGTCGAAAACAATTAAAATTGATCGTCATCGATTTAAAAATATTAATATTTTTTCAAATAATTAATAATATTTCTTAATATTTTTTATAAATTTTTCTTTTAAAAATTGTTGACGAAAAAATTGCAAAAAATTTTTTCTTAAAAATTGAAAAAATCATTTTAAAAAATTTTTTTCATGAAAAATGAAAAAAAAAATTTTTTTAATTTTGTTTATTAAACTTTGGTAATAAAAATTGTGGATTTTAATTTTGTAATTTAAATAAGAATTCAAAAATCGACTATTTCTGAAATTTTTGTATATTTGCATCTCTAAATTCAACGAGTAAATAAAATTGAAGACTATCAAAATAAAGAATGTCATATGAACTACTTTCGATACCAAATAGATTTTCAAACAACGCACCGTCGTTTTCAATATTTAAAGAATATACTATACGGAGTATAATCTCACATTGATATATAAAACCATGATTCTGCTGAGAAAGAAATCATAAAAACCCTTTTTTTTATCGAAACACAAAAAATAAATGAGACCATCAAATTTGTTTATCAAATATATGATATTTAACATAAATTGCAAAATAAAAGTTAAAATAATTTTAGTTTGTAAATTGAAATATACAACAGCTGTTTATACCTAGCGGGCTAAATATTGTATTTTGATTATTTCGCCCGTTTTTGTTTAAACATTTCACGGACGAAATAATATACTCGCCCGTCTTCCAGATACTCGATTTTATCTTGAACGGGCGAAATAATCTATTTTTCTTATTTTGCCCGTCTTCTAAAACACATTCATTTCGACGGGCGAAATAGCCAGTTCACACAGTCGTATCTATTTCGCCCGCGACGGGCGAAATAACAGAAATGAATTAGTTCGCCCGAGCGGGCGAAATAGAAACAGCCTAAATTTAAACAGCATGTCTCTATTTTATTTAAAAAAAATTTATAAATATATTTTTTTTAAATTATTTAAAATTTTTGATTCCTTGAAATGTCTTTGAATTTTATTTTTATACCTAAAAAACCTGAAAAAATTTTTTGAATTTTTTTTTTTTTTATTTGGTCCTTGAATTTTCTATTTTGTGTAAAAATTTGTTTCCAACTGCAAAATTTGGTAAAATAAAAAATACATTCGACTAATTTCCCCACTATATAAATGAGTAATAAATAACAAGGCTTATTTTTAAAAAATTTAAAATTATATGAATTTTTTTTTCAATTTAGCTAAAAAAGTTGTTTTTAAATAAAATAAAAAACATTTTATAAATATTTTATGTCGAATTAAATAATTTTGTTCTTTTTTCTACTAATTCGTTTGATAAAGAATTCCCCTTCCACATATATATATAAAAGCATCTGCACGTACTCATATTGAACTGACCTTGATTTCGAAGGTGGAATCAAGATGAGCTTAAGTTTCTTGAAATTAAATGAAATTTTTATACCTTCGCCGGTAACTTCCAACGAGGCTTGAAAAACTTTTCTCGTTTCGTTTAGTGTCTAGATCTATCGCCGCACTTGAAAAAAAAAAAAGTTCCTTTATTGAAATTCAACACCGCTAAAAGTATTTTTATCCGCTAAGAGAAACGATTTTTTTACATTTGCGGTTCAATTTTAAAATTCTATTCATTTCACAACATATTTTTATTTTTACAATTTAATTATTATCAGTATGAAATTTTTCCTAGGATTAAATTTTCAATTTTTAGATTAAAATAATTTTGAAATATTTGGTATTTTTTTTTTATTTAATAATTTATTCTGGATAAAAATAATTTTTGTTGGTATCAAAACGGGGAAAATAATTTATTTCAATTAATATTTTTAAACTAACGATAATTATTTAATAAAATTAAATTTTTAATTTAAATGTAAATAATAAAAATAATAATTTTAATAATAAATAAGAAATATTTAATATAAGGGAAATTTGTTTTTTGAAAAATAAATAATAATTAAATTTGTTTTCAGGCGGAAGATTTGTGGTGACATCGCAGGGTGATCTTCATATCAGAACAGCGAGAGAAGAGGATGGAAGAGCTGTATATTCTTGTCTCACTTGGCACGCATTAACAGGAGAACGAAGAAAAAGTGAACCAGCAACATTGACAGTCACAGGTAAATAATCCTTTTTTTTTTTTAATCGTTTGCAAATGTGTAAAAATTTGATTTTTTTTCATTCAAGAGACTTTTTTTGATTTTACAATTTGTAAAAATTAATTTTTTTTCCTTCGATGAATTTTTTAAAATTGTTTTCCAATATTCAATATTTTCCAAATTTCAATTTGTAAATATTTTTTCAGAGTTTTTTTTTTTTATTTTACAATTTACAAAAATTAATTTTTTTCCTTCAGTGAATTTTTTTTGTAATCATTTTCTAATTTTTTTTTCCATTCAGAGATTTTTTTTTGATTAGTTCAGTAGTATACAATTAAATTAATGAAAAAAGGATAATAAAAATAAACATAAATTTCTTGTACATTCCACAGAACCAAAGGATCTTTTGCCTCCGAGGCTGATGCAGCGCTCTCAGATCGCAATTTCTGCTGAAAGGGATTCAGATGTGCATCTTACTTGCTCAGCACAAGGAAATCCTCCTCCACAATTTACCTGGTATAGGGATATAAACGGTAAATTTAACCGATATTTTCTATATATATATATATACACATAGATTTCAAACCAGACAATTTTATTACTTATTGAAAATTCTAAAGAGAGCTTAACAATATATTTCTCATTTTTTGTTGAGAAACTTTTATTTTTCAAATAATAGCAAAAAAAAAAAACTGAAATGATAACAGAATGGAATTAATAAAAAAAAATTATTTTTAATAATTTAAATTATTTTTCTAATAAAAATTATTGAAAACGATGATCAAAACAACGAAATTGATATTAATAATATTATAATATAATTATATAATATTAATTTAATTATATTAATATTAATTTATTAATATTATATTGTAATACAATATTAATATAAATTAATTAAGCAATTAATTTTATTCCAATTTTTTATGTTAAATTTTATAAATATAATAATAGGAAACTTATACATAAAACATATTCTATTTTCACCAATATGAATGAATTTACAAAAATTTGTTTACAAAATATTGAATATTATTTTTAAAAAAAATTTTTTTTTTATAAAATGCTAATCTCTATAAATGTTATGATGAGATTTGTTTACAATGGAATTTTGTTTCGCGAAGTATATAACTAATTCATTTAAAAGCAGTGAAACAAGAGAAATCTGTCTGAAAATTATTATCGTCTTTCAGGAAGTTCCGTTCGTGTTGAATCTTACGGTCGGATTCAACTTTGGGGAGATTTGATGCAAATTCGCCGTGTAGACGCTCAGGACGCAGGAAGGTATATTTGCAATGCGAGTAATCAGTTAGGTGTACAACGAGCCGAAACACACCTGGCTGTTACGTCAAAACTCAATGCTCGTATTCAACCACGACTTCAGGTAAAAAAAATTTTATTATTAATTTTATTTATTTTTTTTAATAATTTTTGCTTTTGAAAAATTTTATTTTTAAAATAACGTGTCTATTTATAATAAATAAAATTTTCAGAAGTGATTTTTCAGTAACAAATTAAAAAATTCTATTAATAATTCACTATTGCAAATAACAGAAAGAGCTTTTTAAAATTCATTTTATCATAGAAGTTTTAATCTAAGCCGATAAAAGTTTCCCTTTTTTTTCTGCTTTGAATTTATTTTGAAAGCTATATACACGCAGAAAATGAAAAACATTGTCAATTTATATAAAGAAGATGTATAGACAAATGTTTTCCATTATTTCCATTAGTCTATATATATATATATATAAAAGCTTTTAAACGTTATGAATTATTTTTCATTTTTTAGAAAATTAATTTTGTTTTTCATTGAATTTTTTTAATAATTTTATAATAATTTTATAATAATTCGTATATGATTTTTAATTGAAAATTAGATTTTTTATATTTAAAATAAATTTAGAATTATTTTTGTAAAATTAATTAATATAATGAAAATTATTTAATTTTATTAAAAATTGATTAATTAATTTTTGTTCTAGGTAATAAATTCAGGTGAAACGGCAATTATGAATTGTACAGTCGAAGGATATCCGGTGGAAAGTGTCGAATGGTTACACGATGGTGTGCCAATTTTAACAGCACATGAGACGAGAATACGTTTATTAACACCACTTGTTTTATTGATTGGCTCAGTGGGAAGAAAAGATAAGGGAATGTATCAATGTTTAGTTCGTAGCGATAAGGAAAATGCCCAAGCAACTGCTGAATTAAAATTAGGAGGTAAGTGTTTTTTTTTTTAATAAATCTCTCTAGGATTAAATTTCAGAAAATAGAAATAAAAATTTATTATCTCGTAAATTTTTCCCCTAACATTGCCAAAAATGTGTTGCAATTTGTCTTAAAGATTCATTTTTTTTTGTAGATACCGTGCCAGAATTGCAATATACTTTTATTGAGCAGGCATTAAGGCCTGGTCCACCTGTTTCACTTCGTTGTTCAGCGACAGGTTCACCACCGCCTTCGTTTACCTGGTTCCTTGACGGAGAACCATTGGGCGAAATAATGTCTGGTCATAGGTATTAAAAATTATTTTTCGAATATTTTTCTTATTAAAACAAATTTGTCATTTAGAATTATTGTTTCTTTTTTCAGATATGCTATCGGACAATATGTCGATCAATCAGGAGATGTGATAAGTCATTTAAATATTACATCAGCATCTTCCGAGGATGGAGGTCTTTATTCTTGTGTCGCTTCGAATTCTCTTGCGTCAACAACTCACAAGGCTAGACTCAATATTTATGGTATTTCCATTTTTTTTTTTCGAAATTTAAAATAGAAACGAAAGAATAAATAAATTTGAATGAGTAATTTTTCTTAAAGGTGCGCCTTACATTCGATCAATTGGACCAATTCGAGCGATAGCTGGAGTGGATACAACAATTGCATGTCCCTATTCTGGATATCCAATAACATCTGTAGAATGGTCGAGAGATGGAATATTATTACCTCTCGATATGAGGCACCGAGTGGACAATGGTCACTTGACTATCAACGATGTAGATCCTCACGATGCTGGAATTTACACTTGCACAGTCCGTGCCACAATGGGTCAAACAGCAAGCAGGGATATTCAATTTTTTGTCAGCAGTAAGTATTTTTATTTTTCTTTTTTTAATTCACCTCATTCAATCTTTTAAACATAATTTGAACAAAGCCAAAAAAAAATTCAAAATTTGATAAAAATAATTTTATTTGTTAAAATTAATTAATTGGCTATTGTTAATTAGAAAAAATTAATTTTTCTTTCAGGTCCACCAGTGATGAGTCCAATTTATTTTCCGGCTGATCTTCAAGAAGGCAGCAGAACACAAGTCTCTTGTAGTGTCACTTCCGGCGATATGCCAATTCATTTCTCATGGCTCAAAGACGGCGAACCATTGCCATCGTCTCTTCGTGTAAAAAAATTTATTTAGCAAAAATTTCTTAATTTATTATTTTGAATTATATAATTAATTATTTTATTTGCAGATTGAAGAAAGAGAGGAAGACTTTTTTCACTTTTTGATATTTAAAAATATTTCCTCAAAACATAGTGGTAATTATACATGTATTGCATTGAATACAGCGGCGAAAGTTAATCAAACAGCTGAATTATTGGTTCGTGTTCCACCTCAATGGGTATTTGAGCCACAAAATGTATCAACACTCTTGGGAAGTCTTCTTATTGTTCATTGTCGAGCTGATGGCTTTCCACCACCATCGATAACATGGCTAAGAAGTCGTGGACGAAGTACAAATAATTATCAACCATTGATTGCCGGTCTTGATGGAAGATTGGCAATTTTACCAAATAATACATTATGGACAGCATCGGCTGAACCTCAAGATGAAGGCCATTATCTTTGTCGTGCAAACAATAGCATTGGATCTGGTCTCAGTAAAGTTATCTACGTTTCTGTAAATGGTAAATTTTTTTTAAATTTAATTTATATTTAATAAATTCTGTTTTATTGTTTCTTCTGTTTTTATAATAAAATTTTATTCTAGAACCAGCGAGATTTGAATTTCAAAGCAAGAATGTGACAATTCGTCGAGGTGAATCGGTTACTCTCGATTGTACCGTGATTGGCGATGATCCAATTGAGGTACAGTGGCTTCATAACAACAATCGAATGAATACAAATGGCCTCAGACTGAGCATCAGTCAAGTAAAGACAGATAATGGTCTCAAGTCACAGCTTTCAATTCGAAGTAGCGATCGTCAGGATTCTGGTGTTTACAGATGTACCGCCGACAATGCTTATGGTAGAAGCGAGCATCTCATTTATCTCGCAGTTCAAGGTCAGTAAATTCAATTTTTATCATTAAATTAAATTTCATTGAAAATCACAGATTAAATTTCAAAATATAAATTAAATATATAATTTATAAATAACATTTTATTATCAAATAGAAAAACCAGATCCACCGACAAATCTCGAAGTAATTGAAATTGGTTCGCGATCAATTCGTCTTTCATGGAAAAAGGCATTTGATGGTAATACACCAATTCACAAATATGTTATACAATATCGTCCTCTTGGTCATGGAATAACTGATGATTGGGATCCGGCAAAAGCTCATAATGTTTCATTTACTCCTGGATTATTGAATTTTGAATCGTCAATGAATCCAACGCAAAATGGTTAGAACTTAAAAAGAAAATAAATAATAATTTCTCAACTTGAAAAAAGGAATTTAATTCAAAAATTATAATTTTTCACAGGTTTATCACATTATGAAGTGTCAAACGAAGAACAAGAAGTTGTTTTAGTTAATGGATTGCATCCAGCAATTACCTATACTTTTCGAATTTTTGCCATCAATAATATTGATGCAAGTTCACCGACTGATCCGGTCGTTGCTAAAACTCAAGAGGAAGGTAAAAATTAAATTTAAAAAGATTTAAAAATTTTTTAAAAAGAAATTTTTTTTTTTATTAAAAATTCTTTCAGCACCTACGGAACCACCGCAAAATATCAAAGTCAAATCAGCAGGACCTGGTGAATTAATAGTCAGTTGGCAGGTTAGTTTTTTTTTTTTTCTCTTCTAAAAATTAATTTATTTAAAAATTTTTTATTTATTAATTTTTTAAGGCGCCACCAAAAGAATCGTGTAATGGAGATTTATTGGGATACATAATAACATGGTCTGAGCATTCTTCATCGACGTCAGGTGTTAATCAGAGCAAAAGTTTAACAGTAAACGGTTGGGCGACAACTAAAGTTCAATTGACTGGTTTAAGAAATTATACAAAATATGATATTTCCATTAGGGCTTTTAATAGCATTGCAAGTGGACCGGCAAGTGTTCCTGTCGTTGGAACAACACAAGAAGGAGGTGATTAATATTAATAGTAAAAAAAAGAAAAGTAATTTACAAGTTTGAAAAAATTTTAGACAAAAAAAAAAATTTTGTTTTTCAGTGCCAGGCGCTCCGCCAACTCAAGTCACTTGTAACCCACTTTCGTCACAAAGTATTAAGGTTTCTTGGCATCCACCACCTTCTCATCAACACGGGGGAGTCATTATGGGATACAAAGTTTATTACAGGCCAGTGCCTACTGAGAATAGTGAGTAAATTTTTTTTTCAGAGCTTTTTAAATAATAATAGTTTATATTTTTTTTAAATTATATATTCCTTTTTGTAGAGTTGGGTAAGTCAGAAATATCAGAATCTGCAAGTGGTTCTTCAATTTTAATGATACTTGGTAAAATTATAGCTTTATATAAGAGCAATGTGTAAGTAAAAGGAATTTTTAAAATATCTAAAATTGTAGGAGTTATATCACTTTTAATTTTGATACTGCATTTTTTTCTTTCCTTTATATCTCGGTCAATTTTCAACCGATTTTGATGAATTAAAAACGATTTTTTTCAGAAAATTTTAAAATAAAAATAAAATTTTGTTATTTAAATAGAAAAAAGTAAAAAACAAAATTTCAATTAGATTTTTTTTCAATTTCGACCTCTTTTTTTTAATTTTTAAGTTTTTAATAATATTCCTTTTTATTTTATCTTTAATTTAAAACAAAATTCATCCCGGAGACTTTTTTAGATCTCGTGATATCGTCCTTTAAGTATTATAAGTCTTCATCAATTTGAAAACCGCAGGACTTGCTTCTATCATTACTTTCATTTGTTTGTTGAAATTTTTTATGGTTATGAATAACTATTTGTTTTAGAATCATCTAAAAGAAAGCGCTAAAAACTTCAGCTACAATTTCAGGTTGCATTGTTAAGGTTTCATTACAATTTATTTTAAATTATAAATATTACAAAAAATAAAAACTTTGCTTCAAATCTATTAATAAAATATTGAATTTTCACTTGTTTTAGTCAAGTAATTTAAAAATAAAAACATTATTACGCGAAAGTTTCTAGTTTGTAACAATAATATTATAAAACAAATGAAAGTAGAAACACAAATCTGGATGCTAGTTTTCTTGAGATGTGGATATTTAAAGAACGATATCACGAGATCTAAAAAAGTCTCCAGGATGAATTTTTTTTTAAATTAAAGATAAAATAAAAAGGAATATTATTAAAAAATTAAAAATTAAAAAAAAAGAGGTCGAAATTGAAAAAAAATCTAATTGAAATTTTGTTTTTTACTTTTTTCTATTTAAATAACAAAATTTTATTTTTATTTTAAAATTTTCTGAAAAAAATCGTTTTTGATTCATCAAAATCGGTTGAAAATTGACCGAGATATAAAGGAAAGAAAAAAATGCAGTATCAAAATTAAAAGTGATATAACTCCTACAATTTTAGATATTTTAAAAATTCCTTTTACTTACACATTGCTCTTATATAAAGCTATAATTTTACCAAGTATCATTAAAATCGAAGAACCACTTGCGGATTCTGATATTTCTGACGTGGACTTACCCAGTTGTGAATTTTTTTCAATAGAAAAAAAGAATTTCTTTTCCTTTGTGAAAATCGCTTGTTAACAAAAAGAATATCTTTTTTTTTCCCAGTGGAAATATCGACAATCGGTGAAGTAAAAAAGACTGCAAGCGATGATACGTACCTGCATACTTTGTACAAATATACAAATTATTCAATTAGAGTCTTAGCATACACAAGTGCCGGTGATGGGGTTCTTAGTTCTTCAATTTATTGCGCAACTGATGAAGATGGTATGATTTAAAAAAGAAATAGTTATTAAGTAATTAAAATTTTATTTATAAATAACTTTTTTTGCGCATTAAAATCGAGCCTGAATTTATATTTGTAATGAAAATTATATTAATCGTTTATGAAAATTAAAATTTAAATGTTTAGTTCCAGGACCACCAGCGGGAATAAAAGCACTGGCTCTTACAAAGGAAAGTATTTTAGTTTCATGGCTACCGCCATTACAGCCAAATGGAAAAGTATCACGTTACACTGTTTATAGTAGGGAGGCTGGTTCTCCACGACAAAATAGTCACGCTATGCATGAATCGCCTTTATCTTCGACTGATACACTTACAATGGAATTGCGTGGTTTAAACGAACGGTAAATATTTATTTATTTAAACCAAAAAAAAATCCCGAAGGATCAAATATATATTTATATAGAGAATTTATCATTAAATCACTAATTGTAATTTTTTTATTGAGCTTTTTTTTGAAAAAAATTTTATTGCAATTATTTGTAGGCAACTTTATGAATTTTGCGTATCGGCAACAACAAAACTTGGAGAAGGTGAATCGACAACTATTGTGACACAAACGACAAATACAAATGGTATTGTTATTATCGTATTTTAATTTCCTCTTTTTTTTTTACTATTTTTTTTTTTTTTTTTTTTTGTCTAGCTCCAGCGAGAGTGGCTTCATTTTCTCAAATTTTGAGAAGACCTGTAAAATCCTCAGTTGTTTTGTCATGTCTCGTGGTTGGAAATCCAACACCTCGACCTGATTGGACATATAAAAATAATAAAGTCTCTTCTGGAAGGCATTATGAAATAACAGCTGATGGTCATCTCAATATTCACGGTAAAATTTTTCAACAATGCAAAATTAGTAGCTAATTATTAATTAACAATTATTATTAATTAATAATTAAAAATTTTTCAATTTTAGGCCTAGATCAATCAGTTGCTGGAAATTATACATGCTCGGTGAGCAATTTATTTGGAGATGATTCTATAACGTATACGTTAATTGTTGTCATGCCCCCAAGAGCACCAATTCTTGAACTTCAATATACAACGACTGATAGTATCAAATTTTGTTGGAATCATCCCGATAATGGAGGAGCGACAATTCAAGGTTATTTTCAATTAATGTATTTAAAAAAAATTGAAAATAACATTTGTTATTATTAATTTAATATTGTTTTTAGGATACGTTTTAAGTTACAAAAGAGATCAAGGTGGATGGGAGGAAATGACCCTATCGCCAGAACACACGGAATTAACATTAAGTGGCTTAAAATGTGGATCATCTTATCATGCTCATTTAACTGCCTATAATCGAGTTGGTACTGGAGATCCAAGTTCATTGATTAGCGCTACAACAAAAGGAACAGGTAATATTTATGAATGAAAAAATAATTTTTATTTATAATGAAAATTGAAATTTTTATTTTTTTAGCTCCACTTTTGCCGAGAGAACGTGATATTGTATCAACGAATTCAACGTCAGTACGTTTAAATTTATCAGCATGGCCAAATGGTGAATGTTTAATTCATCATTATACTGTTGAATATCGTCGGCGAATAGGAACGGAACCATGGATTTTGGTTGCGAGTAGAGCAACTGAAAATCTGTTGATTAGAGATTTGAAACCAGCGTCTTGGTATAGTTTACGTTTGACTGCGCACAACGATGCTGGCTCAACTCAAACTCTAATGGAATTTGCAACAACAACTCTCAGTGGAATTAGCATTGGCCCGCCTAATGATTTAATTATGGACGATGATACTGTCAAGGGAATTCCCAGTTATAAACTTCTTTACATTGTTGTACCACTTATTTGCGCAATTGTTCTCATTATATCTGCCATTGTTCTTGGTTACGTTATGCTTAAACGTGGAAGGTGAGAGTTTATATATTTGATTGAATTTTTCATTTTAGTAATTAATAATTTTATTTTTTAGATCAAGTTATTTAGGTGATATGTTACAAGGACAACCACAACCACCGGGTTTAGGATTAAATCAAAGTCATCAATCGCATCATCATTTATCAAATTGTATGTCGACTGTTCAATTGAAATCAACTGCCGAGAGGGATAATAGAAGAAATCATCAAGTTTACACAAGTTCGCCAGTCAAGCAAGATAATCACAAATCAAATGATCATGGTTCAGGTGAAAAATAATAATATTTATTTTTATTTTTTCCTGTTTTAATAAAAAAAATTTATTTTAGAAATGTATGAGATTAGTCCTTATGCAACGTTCAGCGTTCCTGGAAGGGATAATCGTTCGGTGACAACGGCAACATTGGACTATACAATGCAATTTAAAACGTTTGGTCATTTGGAGAATGAGGATATCAATGCAATTGATTACGAGAGATCGAGCGTGGATTTTGAAAGGTATTTTCAAAAAAAATGTGATAGTTTATTTTTTTTTTCTCGGTGTAGTTTTATTTAAGCGCACTCGTCAACGAGATTTTTTTTTCCTCGACCATTTTCCGCACTTATCATTTCCCATAATTTCCCTTTGTCTTTTCTCTTCCTCGTTCTCTTTGTCTCTTACGCGCAGGTCAAAAACACCAAGATGGCATAAACAAAGGTACTTTCCAAGCATCGCCGAAGCTGAGAGTAAACTTCGTTCCAGTCGACAGGGATCTGGTAGCGATACATCCGGCAGTCCTTGCGGCGAATGCGCTGGACCAAGTTATCGAGTTCCTGTTAAGCCATGCAGGGGTAATTTTTATTAAATTTTATTTTAGTTTAGTTTAATTTATTAACGGTATTTTATATTTGAATATTTGCAAATTTATTTCTATTTTAATAATGTTTTTATAATAAAAAATGTTTTTTTTTTTAGATATTTTCTCGCGTGGCGTTGAATCAAGCACAGAATCTAACAACGAAGGCTCTCCGTCGCTAGCGAGAAGACGCAATAGACAGTTGAGCAGGTCCATTCGCAGGTAGCCAAGGTTTGTTTGATTCAACTTAGCACTCACAAGTCCATTTTTTTTTTTATCTCAACGTCAAGTTATCGAAAAGTGTTTCAAACAAAAATTATACATAAAAAGGAAACTAATCGAAACACTTTTTGATTTCGATTCATTCACCAAAAAAAAAATAATTGTTTCAAAACCTTGTCAACTGGGAATTCTGAATATTTAATTTCTAATGTAAAAATTAATTTTTTAAATACGGAAATTACTATTTCGTAGATTTTTTAAAAAATTGTTTATTTGAAATATATTTCAAGAATTCCTTTGCAGTAGAGATTCTAAATCTTGGTACGAATCTTCGTATTAATTTCAGGTGAAATTATAAATTCTTACTTTGGAAAAAAAAAACAATCTGAAGTATTACAAAGATTCTAGATTTTATTTCGCTAAAAAAAAAAGTGAGATATAATTTATTTCGCAAGGAAAAAATATGAATGTAATGGAAAATTAATAATCTGAGCTAGGTTTTAAATTTTTTGTTTTAAGTTCGGTAGAGACGCTGTTACCACCAACTGGATTCAGCGACAGTCGTGAATTGAGCGAGGCAGAATGTGATCGTGATCGTGATCGTGGACGAGGACGAGATTGGCAAAGTTTATCAATTGCCACACGTCATGGTGGTAGTCTTGGCCGTCTTCCTATTGAAGCTGTTGAAACAATGCTTGCAAGGTAAAAAATATAGGTAAAAATAATGTTCCCCGCTTAATTTAATGCCAATAGAATAGAATTGATTTCTGATAATGAGTTGATAAGAAATATTAATATTTCAGGTATCAACAAAGAAAGGAACAAGAAAGGCAAGAATTCACTATTCACGTATGATTATAGGACAAAGAAAAAAAATCATCACACCAAAATCATCGTGCGGTAGTAATATCTAAATTTTGACGAGCTTAGGCAAAATAAATAAAAATTATGTAAGTTTTAAAAACAAATTAAATTTGGCGCACATTTAAAAAAAAAAAGCAACGTTGTTAGAGAAAATAATTTTTTATATATTGGCAATTTTAATTTTTTAAATTTTACTTTAGAGAAAAAATTTATAATTAAATTTCAAAAATGATTCCAAATAGAAAATTCATTAATGGAATTTATTTTTAAAAAAACGTGAACCTTTTTTTGCAAATAAAAAAGGTAAACGAAGTAAAAAAAAAAATAGAGAGTTGTAGAAGAACGTTTTTATAGAAATTACATTTCTAAGAAAACAAAATAATTGTTTATATGCGTGTTTTTAAATTTGTCTATTGACTTTATTAAAAATAAAATAATAAATCGTTTCTTCTATTTGACTCTCAGAAATTCTATTATAAAAAAAAAAAGAAATAGACTGTCCACGATTGGAAAAAACGAGTTTAAAAAAAAAAACTGCCAAAAAGAAACTCGCTCTCCATTTGTAAATATCAGTGTTATGTGCAATGGCACAAATTTCGTATTGGCATATAAAAAAAAAAGTGCGGTACTCGTTACCATGAAAACTACCGATTTCCGTGTCATCGGTTTATTGTATAGATAAGAAAGTGTTTCGAAAAAGGGGAAATAATGAAAATTCATGAGAAAAGACTACAACAAGAATAATATTATTATTAAATGTTAAAACATATTTCAATCATCTGAGACATTTTTTTGCATTTGAATATAAATTAATATACTAATATTGATTAATTTTAATAATAAATACTTTTCTTTACATATAAAAAAAATATCAATTATTTCTTAATAATAATAACAATTATTAATGTTAATTAATATTAGCTGATTTTAATAAAATATATTAAAAAAATTTCCTGACTCGGTAAATGTTTTTATATATTTACAGTTGAAAGACTTTAAATTGTTAAGAAAGAAAAATATTTCTGTTGAACTCAATTGAAACATTCGTCGAGTCAGGTAAAAGCAGATGGACTTTTTTATAACTTGTTTTTTAAAATCCTTTTTCAAATTTACAATTTTGTAAATATAAATTTTTTATACCAACTCATTTTTTTTAAGTCTCGAAAAAGTGGAAAAAAAATATTCTAATTTGTTTTCGCAATTTAATGAGAAATAATTTGTTATTTATTTCGACTGAGAAAAACCCACTGCCAATTTTCTATAGTTATATCGCTGCCAAAAAAATTTTTTTCGTTCGACTATTTGAAGAGATGAAAAAATAATTAACGACCTCTCCTGATCGTTATATTTAATTAATAATATCGTTTTTGATAAACAAAAAAAAAGCTCAGAAATTTTTACTTATTTCCTAGATACGTATTTATAAAAAAAAAAAAAAATTGTATCACGACGAAAACTGGTCAATAGAAATTTTTGACAATCTTTTTTTAATTAAAAAAAAAAACAACTTTGATATATTATAATTATATAAGGAGAAAAACAACGTCGTTGTACAAATTATTATCTTAGGAAATTTACTAAAAAAAAAAAAAAAAAACTTTTCTATTGAATCCACAATGAGATCAACTCTTATATTTATTAGAAATATTTTATATTGATTTATTTAATACTCATTTTTTATGTAAATGAATGAAAAAGAAATTTTACACTTGATTTTTAAAATTTTGTAAAAATATTTTTAATGTTATTTCCAGGAAACACATTGATGGATAATAAATAATTATCATGTGTTTATAAAAGGGAATTTTTTCCTACACTTTCCTGAATAATTTTTAAAATTTGATTTATTATTATTATTATTATTATTATTATTTATCCATTATTTATAATTTATTTATTTTGGAATAATGGTTTTTTGTTTGATTTAAATATTTTTAATTGGATTTTTTATTTTCGTGTAATTTTTCTTTTTTTACATTTTTATGGCGTATATACGATTTCAGCATTTGAATCGTCATCTGTTATAATTATTTTATAATCTTTATAATGCCACAGGTCATCTTCGCGAACAATTGTCCAGAGATCTAGAGCCTTTCTGAAAATATGTGGAATTGATTCGAATCCAGCTTCATGTGCCAATGAATCAAAAAGATCATATTGAGAAAGAAATAATCGGTGAGCGTGTCTTTTTTTGTTTCCTTTGAGTTGCGCGTCATCTAACATAATTTTCCTTGAAGGCAATTGAAATCTTTGTTTTAGCAAGTATAAAAAAAATAATGCCTGAAAAAAGAGAATTCACAAATTTTATTTTATCAAATCTTTTCAAAAAAAAAAAAAATTCAAACGTTTAAAAAGAAATATCAATTTTAATTGCCTTTGGAAATTTATTATTTAATTAACAAACTATTCAAATATTTAACTAATAACTAATTAACTAAACTAATTTAATTTATTGTTTTTCTTTTTTTAAATTTTAAAAATTAGTTAATAAATTTTCAACTATTTGAACTATTTATTAACTAATTTACTGAAATATTTGAATAATTGCATGATCGATTATTTAAATTATTTCTAATTAAATTAGCTTATTAAAATACCTTCACGTGAAACATGGGAAAAGTTATTACATAACTGTTAATTCCCAAAAAACACATTGTTGGTTGATTTATATTAATTGTATGTTTATAAAGTGGATAGACAAAATTATCGTCAACAGTTATACCACAGGATTTATCCAAAAATGGAAATTCCATTAAATATCCTGTACAATACATAAAAACATTGACAGAAACAGAAGTTCCGTCAATGAAAATAATTTTATTTCCCTCCACTCGTTCAATATCCGGAACTTGAATGATAATTGAAGGAAGTTTACTTGTTATTCTGTTAGAGAAACAAAAAAAAATCATTAAATCATAAGTCTAATATTTTTAAAAATAAATTAAATTTACTTTTTTTATAAAAAAAATGACCAAATATTTTAATAATTATATATTGACCTTTCACCTCGATTGCTCATGTAAATGGAATTGGCATAAGTTGACAATTCAACTCCAATGTCAGTAGCCGAAAATGCAGAGCCAAAAATTAATATATCTTTACCGGTAAATTCTTCTGGTTTTCTGTACTCGTGACTGTGTAAAATTTGTCCGGAAAATTTCTCAAGTCCATGTATAATTGGCATATTTGGTCGTGAATAATTTCTATGTAAAAAAAAAAGTTTTCTCTTCTCAAATCTTTATAATTTAAAACAATTGATTATAATTATTGAAAATATTTTTTTTTTTTTTTTTTTAAATTAAACATACCCCGTACAAACCATAATTGCATCAAATTCTTTAAATTCAATTTGCTTTGTCTTCAGATCTTTTATTTTCACATGCCAAGTAGTAATAATTTTGCCATCAGATTTGATTATTTCGGCTCGAACTTGTTCTATTTTCTTAAAAAACTGAATAAAAATTTTTTTTTCTTTAAATCTATTTTTTTGAATTCTTTTTTTTTTCTTACGTATAATTAATTTTTTCTCATACCTTAATGAAATGAAGAATTTGAAAATGATTAGCGTAATCATGTAAATATGATAGAAGTATTTCTCGATGTACTCCACTTCCTTTATTCGCTTTCATTTTCCGAAAATCAGGGAAATTCATTAATTCACAAGGAGCATTGGATCTATAATTAAAGTTTTCTACTTAATATTCGAAAATTATTTTCGATAAATAAAAGAAATTAAAAATATTTAAAACAGAAATTCTAAAATTTTTTAAATGGAAAATAATTTTTTTTTTGTTATGATTATTTTAGTAATTTTAGTAATTATTTTCATGTAATAAATTTTTATTTATTTACTTTTCATTTTGTAGTAATTTAATAAATAAATTAAAAAATTAAATTTAAAATTAAATTTAAAATAAATTTCAAAATAAATAAATTAATAATTCAAACCTAAGATCTCTGTACATGCTGGTGTGAATTGGAAGATCATTTTCATCTACTCCAATTTTTTCAGTATAAATCCAAGTGCCTCCAATTTCTCCAGTTTGTTCGAAAGCTTCAGGCACGAAATAATTCAAATCTGATGATAAATGTCTCAAGGCACATAATCCAGCAGCACCACTACCAATCACACAGACTCTTTTCTTTGAATTCATTTTTGAAAAAAAAAAAAAATAAAATTATATTTTCATTTTTTTTAATTAATAGTAATCGATTAACTTTATATATGAGAGGATGCAGCATTAAACTGATTGAGAATAAATGTTTATTAAAATGTCTATAAGTTGTTCTACATCGTTATCAATAGCAGTAATAAACTTTAAGTTTTGATATCGCATTAATAGGGTCAAAAAAAAAATTAAATAATTTGTTGGGGGAAATTTTTTTCTTTTTATTTCACAGTTCATTGTAAAAATTATTTGAGATAATGATAAAATGATATTGAGAAGAAAAAATTGAAAAATAGAATTAAATTTTTAATAAATTAAATTTTTAATAAATTAAATTTTTAATAAATTAATTTCTTTAATAAATTAATTTTGCTATTTAAAAAATAGGTCAAACAGAATAGAAATTAAAAAAAGGAGTGGCGGGAAAAAAAATTCCACTGCTATAATATATTTTGGTTTATTTCTTATTCTTATTTACAAGGTCCAATATGTATATATGTATATATTTATATATTTTATATTTTCAATAAAATATAATGCGCACTGCTCCGCCAGAAAGTTCGGTAAGCCGAAAGGAAATATTTTAATATAGAAGCGATGTGATCGGCTGTGGAAGTCTGATATTAGGAATATTCTATTTCGAAAACTCGAGTTTATTGGGCAGGGATCAGAAACAATGATTCTTTTTTTTTTTATCATTCATATAATATTGATAATTAATAATTAATTAATTATTAATAATATCAATATCAATGAAATATATAACTCATTTGAATTATTTATGTATTGTCGGATGTACACCGCCATCTTAATATTTTTTTTTTTGTGATTTACCTTCGAACGCGAAAGGTGATAATTCGTTATAATCAATTTTCATATTTTTTTTTCTTTCTGTTTTTGTTAAATATAATATTATATATTTCTTTATAATTCGCTGGTTCGACATAGGAACTAACAAGTTGCTAAATTTTTTTTTTTTTTCATTCATCAAAACCCCTAAAAGGCGAGCCTGCGGATTCGCTACGAGTTTTCATTTTTGAATTTATATTTTTTTTTTTTGTTTTTTGTTTGTTAATAATAACATTTACAACGACGATGACGACGACGACACAGCTAGACATCAAAAACGTAAAGTGTATATGTTTTGCTCTTTGTTTTCTTTTTTTTTTTTAATTTTTTAATTTTTTTCAAGTTTTTTTCTCAATTTATTTTTATTTATGCATGTTCAATCCCTGCAGTCAGTCTGAATCTAATTGACAATGTACGCAAAAAAAGTTCCCGTTGTTCTTGGTACTTTTTTTTTATAACAATGGACGCGCAAGAAAAAAGATCGCGCTTCATTATTGGTCGCTGGGATGATTTTACAATGATGTTGTATCTTCTCTAAAACGTATCAAAAGAAAAAAAAAAATTTTTAATTTTTTTCAATCGGCTTCTTTTTGTAAAAGAAATTTTTTAAATTAATAAATAATTTAATAAATTAATGTTTTTTTATTTTGTTAATAAATAAAACATATTTTCAAATGAGATTAGATTTTTTTAAATATAATTTTCTTTTTTTTAAATAATTAAGTTCACTTATACATAAAAATAAAAAAAAGTTTTAGAAATTTTGTAAAATTTCTTTCAAAAAAAAAAAAGAAGATTGGAAAATTGTTTAGAAAAATTTGCAAAAACAAACTTATAAATTACAAATACGCGTTAATTTGATCGTCAATTAAATGATCAAATTACTAATATCAAGCACCCATGCTTTTTGAATAATAAAAACAGATACAAAAAAAATGAAATTCATTCATTTAATGAAATAAATCAATAATTCAAAAAAAAAAAACAGATTGACAAAAAATTTCTTATTTCAAAATTATATAAATATTATTAATTGTCAAAATTATTAATTAAATAGAAAATTTAATATATAAATTTAAGTTCACAGGTGCTTGAAATAATTTTGATTTATATTTTCAAAAGAATGCTTTTCAGATTGAATTTTTTTTTTTTCTAAATTTTCATAAAATAAAAAATTGATATTTAATTATTGATAAATATACTTAAATTAGTGAATTTCGCCTTCTGCAAAATTGGATATATTTTCCCACTACGTACAAATTGGATGCTTTCTGTGCCGTAATCAATCGATAATGAATAGAAACAGGACCATAATTTTTTTATAAGAATTCTATTTCTTAATTCAATAAATTTTTCTATCCTAATATTTTTTTTTCAATTTTTTTCTCAAATTTGCAACGCGCAACAACAATATATATATATGTTGTAAAATTGACTAGAAAATCAAATATTCTTAATAAGCTAAGTGGTTTTTTTTTTCTTTGAAAAGATTATTTGAAAAATTTTCTAATATAAAAATGGGACGTACCTGAAATTTTCCCGGTACCTTTTTTCTATTTATCACAATGTTTACAGGTACCTGGATTTTTTTAGGTACTAATTGACATCAGACATATTTTTAACGAAACAAAACAAAAACAAACAAAAATTGTACAATAATTGAAAAATCTCAACAAAAAAAAAAAATTTAATTTTTATTTAAATTTTGTTATGGTCCTGTTTGAAGAAAAATTTTTTGCTAATAAATGTTCCAACAAGATTTTTTACAGCAAATATGCAACAATTGTTTGACACATACAGAGATATTTCATATTTTATAACTCACAAGTACAATTAATTTTTTTTTATTATAACAAGAGACCAATTTTTTTTATTTTTCCATTGAAATATAGCAAGAAACTTTTCTTCCATCTTCGATTATTTTTAGCCAGTCGAAAAAATCTTCACACAATAATCATTTCTCATTGTTTTTTTTGTTTTTTGTATCGAGGAACGATCGATTGCCGCTTATTTTTTTTTTTTTTTTTTTTGAACTCGTCGTATGTAAAATATGAACCGAACGAGTCAGATATGACAGTTATTTATTATTTTTGTTGTGTTCGCAACGACACCTTTTATTAGCAAAGTGTTCAATCGCTATCGAACTCTAGAAGGTTACACTAACTTTACATCTTTAGGTTTTTTTTTTTTTTTATATAATAATTATTTAACATAGCGCCGTTTCGCCTTTTTTTTATATCATTTCCATTTCTTTCACATCGACTCTGTTTTTACAAATTCGCATTTAAAAAAAAACAAAGAAGTGGATTTTCTTTTTTTTTCTGAAAAAATTGAAGCGGTGGGATTATAGTTTGAAAAAAAAGAGAAATCAATTTTTTTTCTTTTTATTTTGCTAACTTTGCCTCTTTTTGTTAATAAATAAAAGAAAACTTTGTTCAAAACTCGTAAAACTTCACGCTACAAATATAAAAATTATTCTAAAACTATATATTTATATTTAAATATAAATTAAAAGAAAATCATAAACCAAGTTACATATATGGCACTAAATTTGCTTGAATCCAGACAAAAAATTGAGAAAAAATAAAGAATCTTCCGTATCGCTTCAATTTCCAAACTCACAATTTTTTTTTTGGTAAATTCGATCCACTGATATGATTTCAAACTAAAGAACGCTTTTTAATGCCGGAAATATATATATATTTTTTAAAAATAGTCAAAATTAATTTAGTACTTTAAAATATGTTTTTTTTTTTATTATTTTGCGTTTTAAATTTTAATTTTCCGCATTTAGGAGGAATCCTTTAGTTTGAGGATCGAAAATCCAGAAATTATCATAAAAATATAAAACGAAAGCAGCTCGTTTTTCCGCTTAATTGCAGTTTTAAAGAGACAATTCAAAGAGGATTTTTTTTGTTTTTCTTTTTTTTTTGAGACGTTTACGTTTTAATTAAATTTTTTTTTTTTTTGCACTCGATTCATTTCTACGCCGACGTGCTTTCGGTTGCAGTTAAAGAGCTCGCTTCAAGATTTAAATCGGTCTCGACCATTTATATATATAATATATATTTTTGTTTCTTGACTTTTCTTGCAAATCTACTCTACGGAAAATAGTGTTTCTCTCGGAGTAAACGCTATTTAGTATCACAAGAGTATGTCTAGATTTTTCTAAAATTACATCTCTAGATCTCTAGACATGATTCTAAAATCTTTATTAACACGTCATACAGCGTTTTTTTTTTTCTTGTTTGTGTTTTGTGTGTGTTTGTGTGTTAATCCAAAGCTAAGCTGCCATCTAAGCAATAAATTATTTTGTGCTCTAATTCATTTATTTTCGCGCCGACTTCTCGCTCTCTCTCTCATCAACAAAGCAGGTAAAATGTCCAAACTTTTTTTTTCTCTCTCTCTCTCTCTTAAAAAACTATTTTCAATAATTTCGAATACACAATTTTTTTTCCATATTTTAAATATTTTATTTCATTGAACCTTTTTTTCAGTCTCTAAAAAAAAATCAATTTGTTCCTTATTTTCAGTATTCAAATTAATTATTTTCAATTAATCTATATTCTTTATTTTCAAATAATTTCGTTCGTAAAATTATTCTTTTTTTTTCTTCTATTTTCAAATTTATTTCATTAAAATTTCGACTTTCATAAATAAAATTGATTAAAAAAGAAAAAATCAAAAAAAATATTTAAAAACGCAACAAATTTGTAAAGAAAACAAATTTTATTATTATGATCAAACCAAGATAATTTAAAAACAAAAAAAGAACAACATTCTCACTGGACAAAAAATTTTTAAAATCACGAAACACTTCGTGCTCGTTGATCTGTACATAAATATTTGTTCTAAATAAAAAGACAAAAAAATAATTTAATAAAAAAGAAAAATGCCTCGCGTTTCGCATTCTCGATTATATATAGATATATATATATAAATATTTTTAAAAAAAACGATACAATAAAATCACAGTCGTATGTACAATAAATTTCTCATTAAAAATCGTTAGGCTCGATAAAAACTTAAAAATAAAAATTGTACCGATTTTCTTCTTTTTTCCATATATTTTTTTTTTTTTTTGACTATTTAAGAAAAGAAAACTTTTCTGTTTGAAGAAGAGAGGTCCGAGAGTGCGATGCGAGGCACAGGCGAGTTTTCGTTGTGTGGTCTGTTTTTTTCTTCTTTTTTTTTTTTATGACTCTACGCTTTTTTTCACACGAGCTCAGACAAAAATCTCAAAAAGTACGAAAACAAATTGATCTTCTTGGATTTTTAGTCCTCGCACTAGGCTTTATTTTGTTATTTTTTTTTTCTTTATAAGAAACACAGCAAAATACAAGATATTTGTCTTTTCCACTCAGTGCAATGTTTTGTTTTTTTATTTTTTATTTTTTTTTTATATTTTTTTTATTATTTATTTATACGAATCCTCTAATTATGTATAGCTATATAATCTGTTCAGATCTTAAATAATGAGAAGAGGCACACGCTGGCTAAAATGTCATTTCATTTTTTTTAGAATAAAATGCAATTTTTTCCGCGCGACTTTCTCCGGATTTGTATATAGCGCTCATCGAAACAATCACTGTAACACGATCGTAATGTATGTATATATTTACATTTACTATCTACAATTATCTACACATCGAAAAACAATTAGTTTTGCTTGATTTGTTTTTTTTTCATCTCATCGTGATAGCCGCGACATTGATCATTTTTTTTTTATTTTTTAAAGCATTGTTTGAAAAAAACACTATTTTTTTTTTTAAATAATAATCTCAGAAAAATCATTGGCAAACGGAAGAGAATGAATTTTTTTTCTTAAAAAGAAAAAAAAAATATGATGATGAGAAAAATATCTCTTCTCGTAAAAATAATTTCGTGTGTATGTTACTTGGTAGATGAACGCGCGAGAATATATTATATATATATAGTACAACGCAAGTATATAATGAAAAATAAAATAAATACTGCTAAATTAGAAAAAAAAACGTGAGGAATTTAACAAATAACAAAAGTCTATGAGCCGAGGTCTATCGCAAGAAGAGGCGAGTCTCGCTCTCTTCACGTTTCTTTTTTTTTTTTTCTTGATCCTTTTCTTCGCCAATTATCGATAGGAATAAAAATTGAATTTTTTTTTTGTCGACATAGTATTTTCACTGGGCATTTCAATCCTTCGACAATTGTTTATTTTTCCCCCTTGGTACCGGCTCTTAGAGTCAATTTTTTTTTTAGTCTTCATCTGGTCTCTCCTGGTACTGGGTGCGAGGTCGCCGCTCAAGGCCCTGAATTTTTTCAGGTATAATTAGGCTGCAGTGACGACAAAGATTACGGCGTAAAATTCAAAACCGAATCCTATATGAATGCCCAGCATTCCAATGTTTTCACGACGAAATCTTCACGAGGCGCCAGCGGCTCGTTACCATAAGTGCTGCAGGACTGTGTCCTACCCTGGTACAAATCGCCGTCCAACCATAAACCAAACTTGCCACTATAAAAAAAAAAATTAAATATTTTTTATTACAGATATTCAAACCAACAGAATGTCTACTAACCGAAGAAACCAGAAATTTATCAGAAATTTTATGTCACACTAGTAAGTTTCTTAATTTTTATAATTTCAAAAATAATAAAAATGTAAAAAAAATGTTGAACAATTTAAGACTAATAAAAAATCTTATTTAAACATTGTCTTTAATTATTTAAAACACCTGTGTTGTATTTTTTATTATTTAACCTGCTTTAAAAAAAATCATGTAAATAACTGCGGCTGCCTATATTTTAATATTTGATATTTTAATAGGTTTTGTGCTAAAACTTCGAAGAAAATTTTAAATTTCAGATATTAGGAGAACATGAAAAGTTATAATTAAAGTTGACTGCGCATGCGCCTATTTAAAATATTCATTATTTTGGTACTTTTTCAATGAAATTTTGAAGAAATCTTAAAATTTTAAAGTATCAGGAGAACATGAAGAGGTTGGAGTAATATCAAAATGCAATTCCCGCCAAATTTGGAATTTCAAATATAATAGAAATGCAAAAGCACGTGTTTAAATAAAGAAATTTTTAATTTTAAGTATCAGGAGAACATGAAGAGGTTGGGGTAAACCTATTTTCGTTGATGGCGCATGCGCATTTCGAATATTCATTGTTTTGATAGATTTTGAATGAAATTTATTTAATTTTAAGTACCAGGAGAATATGAAGATGTCGTGGTAATTTCAAAATGCAATTCCCGCCAAATTTGGAATTTCAAATATAATATAAATTCAAAAGCACGTATTTAAATAAAGAAATTTTAATTTTAGGTATCAGGAGAACATGAAGAGGTTGGAGTAATCCTATTTACGTTGATGGCGCATGCGCATTTTAAATATTCATTGTTTTGTTAGATTTTCAACAAAATTTAAAAGAAATTTTTAATTTTAAGTATCAGGAGAACATGAAGAGGTTGGGGTAAACATTTTTTGATGATGACGCATGCGCATTTCAAATATTTATTGTTTTGATAGATTTTCAATAAAATTTAAAAGAAATTTTTAATTTTTGGTATCAGGAGAACATGAAGAGGTTGGGGTAAACCTATTTTCGTTGATGGCGCATGCGCATTTCGAATATTCATCTTCAAAATGCAATTCCCGCCAAATTTGAAATTTGAAATATAATATAAATTCAAAAGCACGTGTTTAAATAAAGAAATTTTTTAGGTATCAGGAGAACATGAAGAGGTTGGGGTAAACATTTTTTGATGATGACGCATGCGCATTTCAAATATTTATTGTTTTGATAGATTTTCAATAAAATTTAAAAGAAATTTTTAATTTTTGGTATCAGGAGAACATGAAGAGGTTGGGGTAAACCTATTTTCGTTGATGGCGCATGCGCATTTCGAATATTCATCTTCAAAATGCAATTCCCGCCAAATTTGAAATTTGAAATATAATATAAATTCAAAAGCACGTGTTTAAATAAAGAAATTTTTTAGGTATCAGGAGAACATGAAGAGGTTGGAGTAATCCTATTTACGTTGATAGCGCATGCGCATTTTAAATATTCATTGTTTTGATAGATTTTCAACAAAATTTAAAAGAAATTTTTAATTTTAAGTATCAGGAGAACATGAAGAGGTTGGGGTGAACCTTTTTCGATGATGACGCATGCGCATTTCAAATATTTATTGTTTTGATAGATTTTCAACAAAATTTAAAAGAAATTTTTAATTTTTGGTATCAGGAGAACATGAAGAGGTTGGGGTAAACCTATTTTCGGTGATGGCGCATGCGCATTTCGAATATTCATCTTCAAAATGCAATTCCCGCCAAATTTGAAATTTGAAATATAATATAAATTCAAAAGCACGTGTTTAAATAAAGAAATTTTAATTTTAAGTATCAGGAGAACATGAAGAGGTTGGGGTAATCCTATTTACGTTGATGGCGCATGCGCATTTTAAATATTTATTGTTTTGATAGATTTTCAACAAAATTTAAAAGAAATTTTTAATTTTAAGTATCAGGAGAACATGAAGAGGTTGGGGTAAACATTTTTCCATGATGACGCATGCGCATTTCAAATATTTATTGTTTTGATAGATTTTCAACAAAATTTAAAAGAAATTTTTAATTTTTGGTATCAGGAGAACATAAAGAGGTTGGGGTAAACCTATTTCGTTGATGGCGCATGCGCATTTCGAATATTCATTGTTTTGATATTTTGAATGAAATTTATTTAATTTTAAGTACCAGGAGAATATGAAGATGTCGTGGTAATCTCAAAATGCAATTCCCGCCAAATTTGGAATTTGAAATATAATATAAATTCAAAAGCACGTATTTAAATAAAGAAATTTTAATTTTAGGTATCAGGAGAACATGAAGAGGTTGGAGTAATCCTATTTACGTTGATGGCGCATGCGCATTTTAAATATTCATTGTTTTGTTAGATTTTCAACAAAATTTAAAAGAAATTTTTAATTTTAAGTATCAGGAGAACATGAAGAGGTTGGGGTAAACCTTTTTCGATGATGACGCATGCGCATTTCAAATATTTATTGTTTTGATAGATTTTCAACAAAATTTAAAAGAAATTTTTAATTTTTGGTATCAGGAGAACATGAAGAGGTTGGGGTAAACCTATTTTCGGTGATGGCGCATGCGCATTTCGAATATTCATCTTCAAAATGCAATTCCCGCCAAATTTGAAATTTGAAATATAATATAAATTCAAAAGCACGTGTTTAAATAAAGAAATTTTAATTTTAAGTATCAGGAGAACATGAAGAGGTTGGGGTAATCCTATTTACGTTGATGGCGCATGCGCATTTTAAATATTTATTGTTTTGATAGATTTTCAACAAAATTTAAAAGAAATTTTTAATTTTAAGTATCAGGAGAACATGAAGAGGTTGGGGTAAACATTTTTCCATGATGACGCATGCGCATTTCAAATATTTATTGTTTTGATAGATTTTCAACAAAATTTAAAAGAAATTTTTAATTTTTGGTATCAGGAGAACATAAAGAGGTTGGGGTAAACCTATTTCGTTGATGGCGCATGCGCATTTCGAACATTCATTGTTTTGATAGATTTTGAATGAAATTTATTTAATTTTAAGTACCAGGAGAATATGAAGATGTCGTGGTAATCTCAAAATGCAATTCCCGCCAAATTTGGAATTTGAAATATAATATAAATTCAAAAGCACGTATTTAAATAAAGAAATTTTAATTTTAGGTATCAGGAGAACATGAAGAGGTTGGAGTAATCCTATTTACGTTGATGGCGCATGCGCATTTTAAATATTCATTGTTTTGTTAGATTTTCAACAAAATTTAAAAGAAATTTTTAATTTTAAGTATCAGGAGAACATGAAGAGGTTGGGGTAAACCTTTTTCGATGATGACGCATGCGCATTTCAAATATTTATTGTTTTGATAGATTTTCAACAAAATTTAAAAGAAATTTTTAATTTTTGGTATCAGGAGAACATGAAGAGGTTGGGGTAAACCTATTTTCGGTGATGGCGCATGCGCATTTCGAATATTCATCTTCAAAATGCAATTCCCGCCAAATTTGAAATTTGAAATATAATATAAATTCAAAAGCACGTGTTTAAATAAAGAAATTTTAATTTTAAGTATCAGGAGAACATGAAGAGGTTGGGGTAATCCTATTTACGTTGATGGCGCATGCGCATTTTAAATATTTATTGTTTTGATAGATTTTCAACAAAATTTAAAAGAAATTTTTAATTTTAAGTATCAGGAGAACATGAAGAGGTTGGGGTAAACATTTTTCCATGATGACGCATGCGCATTTCAAATATTTATTGTTTTGATAGATTTTCAACAAAATTTAAAAGAAATTTTTAATTTTTGGTATCAGGAGAACATAAAGAGGTTGGGGTAAACCTATTTCGTTGATGGCGCATGCGCATTTCGAACATTTATTGTTTTGATAGATTTTGAATGAAATTTATTTAATTTTAAGTACCAGGAGAATATGAAGATGTCGTGGTAATCTCAAAATGCAATTCCCGCCAAATTTGGAATTTGAAATATAATATAAATTCAAAAGCACGTATTTAAATAAAGAAATTTTAATTTTAGGTATCAGGAGAACATGAAGAGGTTGGAGTAATCCTATTTACGTTGATGGCGCATGCGCATTTTAAATATTCATTGATTTGTTAGATTTTCAACAAAATTTAAAAGAAATTTTTAATTTTTGGTATCAGGAGAACATGAAGAGGTTGGGGTAAACCTATTTTCGTTGATGGCGCATGCGCATTTCGAATATTCATTGTTTTGATATTTTGAATGAAATTTATTTAATTTTAAGTACCAGGAGAATATGAAGATGTCGTGGTAATCTCAAAATGCAATTCCCGCCAAATTTGGAATTTGAAATATAATATAAATTCAAAAGCACGTGTTTAAATAAAGAAATTTTTATTTTATGTATCAGGAGAACATGAAGAGGTTGGGGTAAACCTTTTTCGATGATGACGCATGCGCATTTCAAATATTTATTGTTTTGATATTTTTGAATGAAATTTAAAATCTTTTAAGTACCAGGAGAATATGTAGATGTCATGGTAATCTCAAAATGCAATTCCCGCCAAATTTGGAATTTTAAATATAATAGAAATGCAAAAGCACGTGTTTAAATAAAGAAATTGTTAATTTTTGGTATCTGGTTTTGATATTTTGGAATGAAATTTTGAAATTTTTTATCTTCAGGAGAATCTGACAATTTAAGACTAATAAAAAAGCTTTTTGTATTTATATTTTTTTTATTATTTAACGCTCCTGTGTTGTATTATTATTTTTAATTAACTCTTTTTGAAAAAATAAGGGCGCACTCACACCTCTGGCTGCCTGCACAGGCAGCCTCCCACCACGCAGAAAACGTACAAGAGTAAGAGAGACAGAAAATTCAAATTTAAATCTACTGACTCTCTGATTGGCTCTCACTGGCTGCCTGTGCAGGCAGCCAGAGGTGTGAGTGCGCCCTAAAGCATTTAAATACTTGTCTATGCCCACAATTCAAATATTTACTGTTTTGTTATTTTTTAGGCTAAAATTTTACAGTAAATTAGTTAAAATTTTTAACTTTTGAAAGTAAAATTATTTGAATTTTTGTCCAGTTCACAACAATCAGATAACTTTTAGAAATAGTGGCGAAAAATGGTACTACTGAACGTAGGATAAACTGCTAAGCCACGCCTCCAGCGAACATCCCAATACAGAAATTTCTATTTACGTTGAATTTGCATGCGATTAATTAAAATATTTATTGTTTTGATATTTTTTAATAAAAATTTTGATATATTTTAAAATTTAGATTCAATAAAAGTATTATATAATAATATCAATAAAAGAATTATATAAATATGAAAAAGAATTATTTCCATAGAATATAGTCGATTTTCGTAGATATTTTTAGATTTATTTATGTTTAAAATAAAAAAATTTAAATTTGACAAGAATAAAAACTAGGAAATAGCTGGGAAATGACCGGGAATTTTGTTAAACGAAATTAGTAGACATCCTGATTAATTTTTGTAAATTAATTATTTTAAATTTTATTTTATCATTTATTTCTAATCAGTGTGCTTATTTCTGAATTTTTTGTATGATTTAAGCATAGATAGTATATTTATATTTTTTAAAATAATTCGAAATTTAGGGAAAATTGTTCATTAACTTACTCTCCAGCGCCAATTGCTAAACTCTCATTATTTCCTTTAATGAAGTAAAGATTGTCCCCGGTCCAGTTGAAGGCCTGGAACCTTGGTGTGAATCTGAACAAAAGAGACTCCCCAGTTCCATAGAAATGATCACTTACATGTAGAGAACAAGATGTCAAAGCTCCAAACACCTGCGAAAAAAAAATGCAATTTTAAATCAAGTACTGCGGAAAAAAAATCCAATTCAAATTTTTTCTAAGATTTATCAATTTTGATTTTTTGTGATTAAAATTAAAATTCTAATTCCAAAAGTTCAATTTAATTCTAAGAAATGAAAAATTAAATTTTCCTAAAAAAATTTAATTTTTTCAATTTTCTTTATCAATTTTTCTCTTTATATATACATTGACATTATCTTTTGCTTGGGTTATTGGATGTGAAAGTAAAAAGCAACAAGGAAATTGATATGTTGCACAATAATAATCATTATGCAAGCTGACAGTCTATGAGTGAATAAGATGGACTGAATTATTAATTTTACACGCTTTGTTTTTGTTACTTTTCCACTTGTGATGATAATAAATAATTATATGTAAATCTAAAGATTGAAAATGTCATGTAAATCTATACGAGAAAAAAAAACTCAACAGACTTAAATTATTGGTTGAACGCGCTTGAATCCCTATAAAGCTTTCTCATTCAATAAAAAATGAACACGATATTGCATTTATTTGGCGAGGTCAAACGACCTTTTTTTCAAAAAAAAAAATCAATCCTCTCGAGATGATAATTAAACGATTTAAAAATCGAACCAACTTTTAAAGTCAAGTATATTACTTTAAAAAAAAAGAAATTATTTTTAATAAAAAAAACGCCGTCGTTTATAATTAAAATCTGTCGAGTTTTTTTTAAAATTAAAATCAACATTTTACAAATTTAAATTATTTTTAAAAAAGTGTTTTAAAAATGAAACAAAATTTGTTCAGAGAGGAAAATAAAAATTCGGAAGAAATTATCAAAAAAAAAGAAAAAAAAGAGGAAAACTCACATTTCCTTCGGTATCTTCGATAACAAGAAGAATTGGGCTTTCAACTTTGGCCATTTTTCTATACATGCTATTGAGACTGAATCCATGTTGACTCGTGCTAAAAACAAGTGTCCAAACATAGCCCTCCGCCCTTGCTGGCAAATGCCGACAAAGATGTTCTCTGTGATCATCACCGAGTATTTCTGTGGTACCGACTAAATCTGGTACAATAATCTCCGTATCCAGAGAAACTGCACTATTTGCATAAAGGGCTCTTCTGAGCTCTTCACTCATAGACAGCACCTGAAAAATTATCGAAAAATAATCATTATTCTCTTATAATCACAAATTTTTCTCATTCTCTAATTATATAAACAACATTCATTTGTGAATCTTTTTTTAAAAAAAAAAAAACAATTATACATTAAATTTTCAAAATTCGTTATATAAAATTAAAAAATATAATTAAAAATTAATTTATAATTTTTTTATTTACTTTCCAGAAACTTAATATTTTATTTTCTATTATTTATTAACATGTAATTAAAAAAAAAATTAAGTATAGAAATAGAAGATAATAAAAAATTGTTTCCCCCCGCCATTAATTTTATACACAAATTGTGAATAATAATTGTGATGAATTTATCAACTAGAGCAAAATTTTATAATGATGTCAATGCAATCAGTCAATCAATTGCATCAGCGTGCAACGATCGTTTTTTTTTTTTTTTTGCATCTATTATGCGAAAAAAAAATATATTTTAAATTCTATTACTCACTGCCAACGCATTTCCTTATTAGTTTTTAATGTTATTCTTATTTTTTGGACAAAGAAGATAATCTCCTTTATGGTGAAGATTACCATTTTTTTTATCACAGAAAACAAGTTTTTTAATTAATCAAAAAAAAAAAAATAATAATTAAAAATTCGTTGCAGGCTGAAAAAAATATTTGGAGAGACACCTCGAGGATATCTAATTTCTAGGGGTTCACCTAAAAAAAAAGTCTAATTCTAGGTCTCTACGTCTAGACAATAACATTGGCACATCTACTGAGAGCATCAAGTGTCGTGTATTGAAATATTGTCAGTGTCGAAGTAATTTTTAATAACAAGACGTGAACAACAAAAAAAAGTACTTCATTCACATTCGTTTATTATTTATATATAAAAAAAAAAAAAATTTCCATTTATGTAAAAAAAAGGTGAAAAAAAAAAATTTTTAAAATCATTCTCAAAATTCGATTTTTTGGAAAATATAATAATTAATATAAAATAATAATAATTAATGAAAGAAAGTACATAATTAATAAAACAAAATATAATAAAAATAGACGTATCAAGATTGCGATAGAATCGCCTAGGACAACAATAATCATCATCGATAAAAAAAGAAGTATTGCTTCAGATGCGACATTGTTCAGTAAATAACATATATATGTAAATAAAATATAAATTTATCAAAAAAAAAATGTAATCCTTGTATTTTCTCTAAAATATAAAATAAAAATTATTAATTTCTAAAAAAAATCAAATAGAAAATTTCTCAATTGCTTTGTAAAAAAAGACAGTAGAAGATCAGAAGCTTGAATATACATCAATTATCGCGTTATCTTTTTGTTGTCATAATGATAACAATTCCTAGAAAGGTATTCCAAGCAAAAATCATTTTTAACAAAAGAAAATCTACTGAATATAAACAAAAGAGATAAAAAATAATTTTTAATAATTTTATTCAATCGTTAACCCCTTTGAGAGATCTATTAAATATTATTTGTCTTTTAAAAATAAATAATTGAAAAACAATTTTTTTTTAATATTTAAATTAATATTAATATATTACTGAGAAAAAAAAATCATCTAATCTTGTTTTGTATAACCCGTTGAAAAGGGATAATCCTATTCAATGAAACTTTTGCGACTGCAACAAATAAAATTTTTTTTTTTTTTTTTTTATTATGCATTCTCATAAATCTTCCGAGACAGATTAAACAGATCAGATTAGTGTGGTCCAGCTGCATCATCCGCTTATTTGAATATTCATCACAATAGGAAAATTCCCAAATTAAGAGACTCGACATTGTTTATTCTCTTAGAATGGCGTTGAAAAAGAAAAATAAAATAAAGTTTCAGTTCAATTAATGACAATTAAGAATTTATCAAATAATATTTTTGCATTTTGCGTCAAAGATAAATTTTTTCATATGGGATTATGGATTATATTTTTTAATAAATCAGAAATATGTACGTAGTCTATTTAAATATTCGTGTGCAATCTTTAAATTATATAAATAATCATCACGTTCAATGCAATAATAATCATTCTCCTAAGAATTTAATTTTATAATACTTTTTTTTTTATTCTTTATATACACGTGTATGATATTTTTAATTTTAAATCTATTTTAGAATATAAATAAAATTTTTGGATTTTACTATAAAAAAACTAATTGCAAAAATTATTTTTCAATAAAAATTTCTCAGTAATTCCATTTTGTAAAACCTTGATCAAATGAAAATCAATAAAAAAAAAAAAAAAAAAAATTCTATAATCTACATTTTACAAGTTCAAACTGGTAATATTATGGTATTTACATTTTTCACTGATTTTTTTGCCACTTGAACCGCGACTGATTAGAAAATTATTGCGTATACGAGAGTTTAATGTTTACAATGATAAAAATTCGATAACCAACGTGATTATCACGTGTAAAAAAAATTAATAGCCAATAATTACAAAAAAAAGTAAATAAATATAAAAATAAAAATTTAAAAAAGGAAAAAAAAGAATTTAATCAATTTTCGTGACTAAAAATTTATTATCTTTCTTGATCGTGAATTAATTCACAATTTGCGTAATCATGTTAAACGTATGTTAATGTATCAAAGTTTTAAGGTCATGTGGAAGAAAACCACGTGAGCTACTGTTTGCCACTTTCGAATTTTTTTTTTTCATTTTTTTTTGACAAAATTAATATTTAGAATAGCAAAATTCTTTAGACCCTCTTTTATAATCACATTTTTGAAAATATTAATTCTACGAGAAAATTTGAAGACTTGATGGATTTCTCCCACATGGCCTTAAGGTCAAACATTTTGAGTAGCTCGAGTTCATATTTAAATTGACCTTGTTTTTCTTCTCGTTTCATCTCACGGCTAATATAAAGATAAATGACTTCTGATAAAGTGCAATTTCTTATCATTATAACCGTATACTACGTAAATGTGTTATTATTTATCAAAAATTAAAAAAAAAATGATGCACAATATACTCGTTTTGCACGTGTTAAACAGAATGAATGATTTATTAACCCTGACATGAAACAATCTAAGTATTACGTGAAAACAAAAAATAACAATAACAAAAGTAAATAGTCAATTTCTTTCTTTTTTTTTTTTTTACTCTTTTGTGGTTCGAAAATTGGCAATCAGCCAATAAGTTATTTAAAAAAAATATATATATATATAAGATATCAAAATAATGAATAGTATACGAAATTAATGATAGAAAAAAATATATATCACTAACGGGAAAAATATTTTGATGAAATTGTATTATTTTTGTAAACAAAGCAAGAAATTTAAAATAGAATTCAATTTGGCGTGAGAAAAATAATTATATAATTTCTTTTAGAATCTGGAATGTTATTTTAAGAAACAAAACAACAAACCAATTATCTGTACAGACGAGAATTGTCACATCACTGACCTAAGTCACTCACAATATAACAGGTATTTTTCAAAAGACAATAACGCTACTTTTTCTAATATTAAAAAATAAATTTAAAGAAAAGTAAAAAAAAAAAAATTTTTATTATTTTCTTGAACTCGGATTCTATTTTTTAATAAACAAATAAAAAAATTGAGAAACTAGATAAAAATAAAATATTTCTCAAATTTCTAAATGAAATATCGTTAAGAAATTTTAATCCTCAATTGCTTAGAAGAAAAATAAATTTTCTTATTAGTCTCAGCAAAATAAAAAAATAAAAATACAAAGAAAAAAAATTGTTAAAAATCTAAATTTACATTTCAAGAAATTGTCCATCAAATAAAATTCAATTTCAAAAAGAAAAGCAATATTTTAACTCGGGAATACGCGAGCTGAATTTAAAAATATCTATTTTTACTATTATTAAGTAATCTTGGATGTGATCCAACAATTTATTTTTCTCTAATAGAATTTTTGCCTGGTGAATATTATCAAATTAAAATCACATCGTCAATATATATATAAAAAAAAATTATTATAATTACCGAGAGCATTCTCGATGAATGTTGAAAGACATAATTTAAAATTGAGCATGTTTCGGCAGTCATAATTGAAATTAACAAACACAATATTTAAAAAAAAATTTAGGCTTCTCACGAAAAATACAAATCGCAGAGACAAATATCAGATAGATAAATATTTAACGTTTCAAAAATTTACGATTTCACTATCATATATTCATATAATATATATATATAGCAAAATCTTTCTTGCACGAGAACCGAAAATCAACTGGATACCAAACGAGATTCACGGCTGTTATTATTCGACGAAAGTTTTGCAAGAAAAATAACTAAAAAAAAAATAAAATAAATACGAGTTAAAAATAAATAAAAAAAAAAAATATATCCCTTTCCTTCAACTTTCCTTTCACACCCCTTCTACCTTGTGAATACAAGATCAAGAAACTGACTTGGCCTCGGGATTTTATTATAATGTTCGACCAATACACGTTTTATATGAGAAATATTCCCCTTTCGCGGTCAGATATTTTTGGATTCGATTTGAGAGAGAGAGAGAGAAGAAGAAGAAAAAATACCAAATACCTATCCGGAAAAGACGAGGGACACAGAAGGCTTATTTTTAGTAAAGATAACTGCATTTGTGATGAAATTATTTCTTTTCCATGCGATAAGATAAGTAACATAACAACCAAGCAATATTCTTTCGTTAAATAAATATAATAAAAAGAAAAAAAAAAGTTTTACTATATTGAACCAATTTTTGCTCATTACCAAAAAAAAAGAATATAATTTCAAAACCAATTGAATTCTAAAAATTCCATAAATAAAATTAATGAAAAATATTCCCGTAAGAAATAAATTTTCGAAATAAAAATATTTTTCTAAATAGATTTCAAAAAACAAAAATCGAAAAGACAATGAAAAAAAACTGGGAAAATCATTAAATATTTAACTTCAATTGATATGAAAATTGAGGGTTCGAGTTTTTTTTCTATTTTAAATTCTCTTAATAGTTGATAACATATGCAAATTTTTTGTATTAAAAAAAAAATATTACGAGGACCCTAGT